AAACCCTAAACCCCAAGCAATCCCAAGCCATCCCAAGCCCTGCATCCTAAGCCCTAAGCTTTCAGCGCAAGTGATTGAAAATAGCGGTTTAGGGTTGAGGGTTTACTCCGCTCCTGCAAGTGCTCCTGCAAGGCAAAATCTTAACATCAATTCCCAAGCCACATGGATAGTCTTGGCGATTAGAGTTTCGGGTTTAGAGTTTCATTAGGGTTTCGGGCTTAGGGCTTAGGGGCTTACTGCTTTAGGGCTTCCGCGTTCTCGTGATAAGATTTTAAGGAGTCGATCCCGAACCAAGCTTAGAGTTAAGGCAATTCAGGGAACCTCTTCTCCCAACAATACAAAATATCGCAACACTATAATATCGTCATGTTGGGCGAACCTCCATTACCAGGGTGGAGTTTTTGCGATGGAGATGAAGCATGCCCAACCCCCATATCTAGGGATCGTGTAGTAATGCTGAAAAGAAAACAGAATCTACATATAGGGATAGTACCCCAATAATGAAGAATCACATGGAAAAGACAAGTGAAGATGAAATTGTTGCGAAACTAGGATCTTGAGAATAGGAATTTGAATACGGGTTAAAGTGTAGTTTTTTATTGTATAGTTCCGTTACCCCGCCTCTGTACTACCCACTTGATTTTTCCCTGGATTAAGGCAATTTTAGGATAATAAGGGTTAATTAACGCTAGTGAAGGCAACCTTGGCAAGGTAGTATGGGGAGGGGTAGTAGAAGAACTCATGTTCCACCATTCGAGCCGTAAAGGCATCCTATGGTTTTCCTAAAGAACCCCAAACCCTATATAACCTCCATATGACGCCTAAACCCAAAAGCCCGAAACTCTAAGCCCCAAACCCGGTGAGTTTGCGAAAGTGTTTGGTTGTGAGTTGCTAGGGGCAGTAAGTACCAGCCAACTGGCCGGCTGCGCCTATAGTGAAGGTCAAGAGGTATGAGCATGAGTTAGGGTTTAGGGCTTCCAGGGCTTAGGCTAGGAAATGTCAAAAGAGTAGAGGGGATTCCAAACTTGACATGAATGACCAGAAAGGAGGAGATTTCCTAGAGTCCATGGAAATCCGTTCCTTTTACTCTACGATCCCGCCTCAAGTCCCCGTGTGACAGGTCGTTTTAGTGTTGAACTTTGGTGTCGCCATCATCCTCACAACCCTCATTGGCCAGAGGTGTGGCGATTCCGTGTTGACCGTATTATGGCTTGTGACCCTAAGGGTCCAAGTACCTGGTAATCATATATTACCCAGAACCTATACCATAGTTACTATTACCCAAACAAAAGTACCTAATTCTTGGGTACATGGACCCGCAAGGTGATTTCTTCAAGGTCCAAGTACCCAGTCGGTGCGGCTTTAGGTCTGAAATAGCATAGGAGCTATAGACTATAGTCTAAACCCCTTCAAAGGGGGTAAAAGGGATTAAGTAGGAGAGTATTATGGAGGCTTTTAAGGGGGATACTACTACAGGAGTTTAGACCATGGCTCATATTCTGAATGGTTTAGGGCACCTAACTTCCAAAGATTTGGATATTTGGACCCTTTAGGGTTTGCGTTTCAGGTGGCTCGCAGTTGAGAAGTACTTCAGCGGGATGAGTTTAGGGTTTAGGGTTTAGAGTTTAGGGTTTAGGGATCTAGATCCATGCTCCTAAAAGTTCTCAAGCTTATTGCTGGGTTGCTGTTAAGGAACTTAAATTAAGTTACCATAATGGGTATATATAGTAAATAATAGGGTTTCCCCAATATAGTAACTTAACTTAAGTTCCTTAACAGCAACTCAGATTGCTCACCCTGCGGCTTTCGATTTATAAATGCCACCTACATTGGCACTAAAGAGTACGCATACAGGGGGCCATTTGGGGAGGCGGGTTACGAACAGCTAGCCCAACATTAAACACATGTGCCCGGGTTTATGGAGAGACGCTGCAAATGTCTTGAGAAATTTGATGTCGTCGTTCGCCTATATACCTTGAGGGTCTGAATGCAGCATGGTCGTATACTTTCCGCCAAGTCTATACCACAATGGCTAGTACCCAAATTCCCAGCACACGATTCTTTGGTACTCGGACCCTTGCAATGATGAACCCATGTACCCATGTTACCCAAAGACTGTGTATATTCATATATACATATATAGCCCCTAAGCAAGATCCCGCATCAAGTCATGCGGGCCGTGGGCCCCGTACTCCGCGTACAGTCGCCATGCATCCCTATGATAATGAAGGGTATTCGCTCATTCTGAGAAGCACCCATGTAGGCCTTGGACAAATTCGGTCCTCACACATGGCAGGGCTTCCTTACGAGGATTTGTGCTGTTTCTCAGGGGCCCTACTTGCACATGAGCCAAAAAATCCACATTCTTTGTGGGAGATTGGAAGCACGGGTCCCAGTACATGCCCTCAGCCTCTTCGACGGAATATCCGCTTCAGTCTAAGGCTAACGGCCTTGGACAAGCTGAATCAAAAAAAATACAAGCCAGAAACTGAACTTTCAGGGGACCTCCATGACTTTTAAGCCTCAAGTCGTGGGTTGTGGGGTCCACCCCAAGTTGTTCTTATCCTCAGCGAACATTCGACATGCTCGCGCTCAAGTGCTTCAGCACCTCACCTTTCAGCTGATGCTTGAAGGCCAGAGCCTTTCCAGAAAACTCCTGGGTTACATAGGGCACTACCCAGATCATGAACCACTTTCACCCGAAGGCTGTGAATATGCCTTCCCCTAAGGGTCCAAGTACCTAATAATCATATACTTACCCAAAACCTGGACTATAATTACTATTCCCCAAAACCCAAGTACCTAAATATTGGGTACATGGACCCTCTGGGTTCTACAATCACTTCAGACTAGACTGTCGCGCAGATGGTGGCGGCGAGTCGAACGCTGCAGGTGGTATTGTTAAGTGGTCAGACAACCCAGCTGATTGTGCAGCCTGAGACCACCCTGAAGGAGGCGGCCATTCATCAGAGAAAACTTGTGGGCCCCAATAGTGTCCCTACACACCATTTATATCCTTAAAGGAGTTGTCTCTCCAACCTTCCAAAACATCCCGTGACCATGCCAGGTGAAGGAGGCAGCTGAGGATAAGTTAGAGGTTGGCATTGGGCACTTCGTCCGAGAGGATGGTACAGTCATGAATGAATCGCACAAGGAGCTGACCGTTGCTGGAATGGAGCTGCGGCAAGGGGAAGCCCTTCAAGCTGTGGCCGGGTACAACATCAAAGTTAAGTACTATGCCCAAGCTTTGTTGGACAAGATTAATCCAAGCGAGAGCAGAGGCGACATAAACATCATGGATGACCTCATAGGCATTCAGCTGCGTAATGTTGAAGACTTGAAGTGCATCGCCCAAGCCATCTTCAAGAAGGCAATAGCAGAGCCCGCCCACGGCGAAAGCTGCGCGCGCATCGCGTTCGGTTTGATGGAGCGTTACCCGGAATTTCCACCTGAAAACGAGCGTCAGAAGCCGGTGTGTTTCACTCGTGCGTTACTCACCATCTGCCAGGAGGAATATGAAGAAATGGTCAGCATGCTTAGCACCTTTGAAGCATCGCTACAGGACGAGGCCAAGTTCCCAAGAGCTGAGGCCGAGCAAGCGGAGCTCAGTAGAAGGAGACGCATGATGCTGGCGTGTGTCAGTTTTATCGGACATCTGTACTTGGAACGGCTTTTGGCAGTAAAAGTGATTGGGCAGGTTGTTCATGACCTGATAGGCGTTAAAAGAGGCGACAATCCTCCACCGGAGCCGCACGCAATCAACTGTGCGCTGCAGCTTCTTACATTGGTCGGGCGGACTTTGGACGCCCAGCCGAATGGGGTGGTCTTATTGAACAGAATCGCAGAGCGGCTGCGAGCTCTGCCGTTACTTCAAGTCGCCGGCCTTCCGTGTTACTCGCCCCAAGTTCGATTTGCCATTAATGACGTGCTGAGATGCCGCAGGGACGCCTGGCAGCCTCGGGTTAACTTCGAGCACCTGCAGTGAGGCAACGTCCAATGACTGCCACAATGTTTGACGCCAATACCATGAACGTCTCTCGGTGCAACTGCGCCAGAAGGCGCTACAGTAAGCTTGGGAGCAAAAGACGCATGTTTGTAGGTCCCTGCGATGAGTGAGAGAGATTGTGTGTCTGTGTGTTGATATTCTTACGCTTGTCAGTCCCCTTCCTTTTTCAGTGGCTTTGCAGCGCGAGATGCCGAAACATCATTTGCGGCAAACGCCCGAAACACTACTGACTACCACGATAGCAACGACGACCCAGACCACAACGACCAAGGCAACGATGCCGACGATGACGATGACAGACGACTCCGACAGCAAAATCAGCCGCAGCCGCAGCCGCAGCCGCAGCCGCAGCCGCAGCAGCAGCCGCAGCAGCAGCAGCAGCAGCAGCAGCAGCAGGAGTAGGAGCAGATGCAGCAGCAGGAGCAGGAGCAGCAGCAGCAGCAGGAGCAGGACAAAATAACAGCAAGAACGGCAAAAACAGCAACCTCCATAGCAAGCGCAACAGAAACAGTAACAGCAACAAGAGCAAGCACAACCACCAGGAGAAAGACAATAACGAGGACTATAAAGACAACAATAAAGGATGGGAATAACAAGAAGCAGAAGGAACAAAACACAACAACAAGAACAATACGAGCCACAACCACAACAGGAACCAGCAATAGCGACGCCAGCACAGCAGCAGCAGCGGCGGCAGCAGCAGCAGCCGCCGCCGCAACAGCAGCATCAACAGCAACAGTATGAGCAATAGCGGCGAAGGCGGCGGCAGGCAGTATCGTCACCAGCTGCTGCCGCAGCGGCAACGGCAGCAGCAGCAGCAGCAGCAGCAGCAGCAGCGGTGGCTACAGCAACAACAGCAACTTCAGGTTGTAGAGTTTAGGGGTATAGAGATCTTGTCTCCCGATTCCATCCGTAAGTCCTGGGAGCATCCCTTTATTGGGTGAATTGGGTGAGCCATACCAGGCTTATCCGCTGCCCGTGATAACGAACCCTTCCACCCCCTAACCTTAAATGTTCCAAACATACTTTGATAATAAAGCACTGCAATTGGTATACCTCATATTAGGGTGTGGGAGATTTCGGGAACCTAAGCAAACCAACAGGTACGGGGGCTTATGAGTGCTGCATCCAAGGTAGCAATGCCTAGCAAAGAGTTCAGTGTTTTTCTGGGGTGCTGTTAAGGAAACCAAGTTAAGTTACCATAGTCTGGGTACATAGCAAGTAGTGGGGTTCCTTATTCTAGTAATCTAGTTTAAGGTACTTAAAGCAACCCAGTTTTACGGCGTCGGCTTGCCGGGAGGACGAGACGTGGATTTCTAGACTGATGGATTGGCAGATTGTTATGGACTGCGTTTAAATGGCTGATTTCAAAGTAATCCCTTATGAACATGGTTCTCCTCCATGCTGCAAGTCAGCTCGACATTCCTGGACAGTTCCTCCCAAGCCCTAAACCCAATCCGGAAGTCATGTCAGGGTGTCATTATCCGAAGGAGGCTGCTACTGCCTCTTCCATGGAGCTGTGCCGGGTTTTTATTTGAGCCAAGACCCTTTGCCTGCTGATTGTCAGCATACTGTCAGCATGGAAAGAAGGAATGGACGAGAAACTGGAAACTATTGTAACTTATTGTGGGTTATGAAGGGCTTACACCGGGAATCGGTTCCTCCACTCCTTGCTAAGAACCAGTAAGTAAACTCCAACCCATGGTCTGCTCTTTCATCCAGCCCTGAATCGCAAAATGTAGAAGGACAAAAAAAACCCTGCCCCTAATCGGAAACCTCCGCCCCCTAACATCAAATGTTCCCCCCCCCCCCACTAGATCATTGTTATGTTTATTCAGCGGAAGGGACAATGCCCAACATTTTGTTCCTCACAGATATTTCGATAATTTTCATGATCTATCCCAAAATCATAGTTCATTCCATACGGCCCCTACACAACCTAAGGCAATATGGTTTCGGCGCCTACATCCTAATTAAGCCCAAAGCCTGAAACCCCTAACAATCTAGCAGTTACCATTTCCTTTCCATTATTTGTTGGAGCCCACTATCCCTGGCTTCCATAGTCTGAACTCCCAGCATCCCGCTTAAAAGCCTCTATGATATTCCCCTAAATATAATCCCCTATATAACCCCCGTTGAGGAGTTTAGATTATGGCTCATATAACCCCTAGATAATGCCTATAACCCTAAACCCTATAACCCTAAAATTAAATTAAACCCTATAACCCCGATAACCCTAGAACTCTGCTACCTAAAGCCCCTATAACGCCCGGGCCCAATCATAATAAGCCCCTTGGCAGATGCCAGGTCTAATCCCTGGGCAGATGAGACGAATGAGGACCTTGATAAAGTGCGTCGGTGTTGCGTTTGAGGAGGCGAGTTGCCATGAATGAACGGGATAATGGAGGAGAACATAGAAACTGCAATATAGTTATTGGGGTTATATGGGGATAATGGACAAGAAAATGGAAACGACTCTATAGTATATTGGGGTTATCTTGGGATAATGGAAGAGAAAATGGAAACTCCTGTTTAGGTTGTGGGGTATTGTTCCTGATACTTTGTGCAACCGTCTTCAAGAGCATCAACTTGTAAAATCAATGTATCTGCCAGTCATGATGTTGCTAGCAGTGTACTGTCAGCATCATACTTCTGGATGATTAGGATGTCTACTACCAGATGCAACTTAATTGTAACTCGAATCCTTCTTCTGACGTTGAGGTGCTTGTCATCATTTTCATGCGGCCGGTAGTACTTTAGTATGCAGCAACACTGTTGTTGTCATTCCCGTTTTCGCAGCTATGCTTGCTTTAATGCTCATCTGCATGTTCCTTCATGAAGTTCTGCAAGTTATAGACAAAGGTGCCTTCACTATGAGAAGCACTGACCCGAACGTGCCCCCGGATGTTGAACAACCTCCCCTGGCTTCATGGTTGTTTCCGAAGATGAAGACAGGCCGCCAGAGTGGTTTAGGTTGTAAGCGTAAACCTTAAACCCTAGATTATGACCCACCAAGCCAGGACCCTAGATCCTTAAAGCCTGACCCTCGCGTTATGATACTGCAGCTGCATGACCCTACGTTTCGAAACCCCAGGAACTATTGTAGAACACACTGAGGGTCATGCAGGACTTCAGTTGTAGGTGTCCCTCCTGGTCGTAAGGGCTAAAAAAGAAGGCGGTCCAGAGGCAGCCTGCTCATGTAGCAGTGGGAGGGGGGGGATGCTGGGGAAGGGGGGAGGAGGGGAAGCGTGGGAAGGGATGGACGGAAAATGCTCGCTGCCGCGTACTGCGAAAGCCTCGAACCTGGGGCACGGCTTGAATTTCACGTGGGGCGCTGGCAGGCTACAGAGGTGGTTTGCAAGGGGGAGTAGAGGGGTCTTTAGAGGATTCCAAACGCCCTGAGGCTGGATAGCCTCGGCGAATAAACCCTACATCCTACTCCCCAAACCCTAAACCAAACCCAGGGAAACCCTACGTTTCTTCATCCCCAAGAATTAAGCAAGTACATGATGAGGACATTGAAGCGTGGTTCGGATCTATTGGCCGGTCCATGCAGCTGGCTCATGGATTCAGGGTTTAGGATGTAGGGCTTAAGCTTTAGTGTTTGGTGTTCCACGCTCATGTGGTTGAGGGTATGGACTAGCGGATTAATGGGCCTACGGATCTAAACCCTAGCCCTAGACCCGAAGGCCTGAACCCTAAACCCTAAGTGCTTGGAGGTGTTTTGGGATTTCAGGGATAGAGGACTTGGGGATCAGGGTTCGGATGACAGATTCAGGGCTGAGGTCTGGAATATGATCTCGGGCTTAGGGCTTAGGATTTAGGGTTTAGGATTTTAAGGTTTAGGGTTGAGGGTTTAAGGCCCCCAGCCAGTAACAGTCTATAATAGGGGTACAATTAAGGCTCATATGCAATGATCGTATACCTATTATCCAAACCCTAAACCTTATTGGAGGCAGTATCCCAGCTTTAGGTTTCAGGATTGAAGGTTTTGGGGTTTGGGGTCATTGAGCTTACCTAAACCCCAAAACTATGCAAAATCATAGCCCTAGATCCATAAGAACAGCCCTAAACCCTAAACCCTAAACCCCCTTAACCCTAAACCCTTAACCCTACAACCCTAAACCCTAAAACCCTAAACCCTAAAACCCCTAAAGCCTTGGGGTCCAGGTAGGTTGTAGGGCTCGGGAGTTGGATCTGTTGCTTAGCGTTCAGGCTCCGGGTTGAAAAGCTCAGGATTTATGGGAGAACATAAAGCCTATATGAGCTATAGTCTAAACTCCTTAAAGGGGGTTATCTAGGGGATTATATAGGGGACTACCATAGGGGATATTAAGGGGGATACGAGGAGTTTAGACAGTAGCTCATATATCCCTACATCAGCCTATATAATCCCTAGTCAACCCTATATATTCCCGATATATCCCCTATATAAACTATATAACCCTATATAATCCCCTATAATATAACCGCCCTTTAAGGACTTTAGGCTATAGTTGAGCATTTGAGGCTTAGGGTTGTAGCTCTACAGGTCGAAGTATTTAAGAAGAGGGATGCGGGGCTTGCAGGCTCCATAACGTAAGGTGTCGTGTCAAGAGCATTGTATAGGGCCAGGGTGCAAGTCCAAAGCCCTATGAATCAACATCGTAACCTCCTTCATGATAAGAACCTTTTCTTAAGCCCCACCCTCTGGTGATAGCCGAATGCGGCAACCTAATGTAGTAAAGAGATCCTGCTGCGGGGTCCTTTGCCTTTTTGTTTTAGTCAAAACGCTCTGCGAAGCATGTTCCAGGAGCAGCTCCAGAGATGTCGTGAGAAGCCCCATGGCCGCAGATTAGGATTTAGGGCTCAAGGCTGAGGGTGTAGGGCTTAGGCTTCATTAGTCGTCAGAGTTCAGGAGGATTTAGGCATAAAGCATTTCAAGCCCAGGGTGTATTTTGAGGCCCAGGGTAGTTGTAACAACTATCATTCTAGTCATG